GTCCATTTCATAAGATTCACGAACCTGTTAGTATTTCTTTGAGATCAGACATGTAAATTGTACTTCCCACCACTTCGACTTAATGAAATATTGGGTCCTTCTGGACCCTTCTCGTGTTAAAAAATAGACCGATTTCTTTTTTTTTCATCCCCACCGTTTTCTTCGTGTTGTTTACATTCAGGTCCATTTTCCTTTGCAACACCTCCCCCCTTCCCTGTCAAGGCTAGCTGACAATGTTTGTCCCATCGACAGAGGGAGGGTGTGTGGGATGATGTTGTTGGCACATGCTGAGGCGCTAGTAATGGGGAAGGCATGTTCTAGGGTGGCAGTGGGTGTGCGGCAACCACCATGCTCCCATGCCCTAGGAGGTTCCCAAAAGTTGTATCGTGGACCCAATGGCCATCTTTAGTGACTTGGGAGTTGTGCATAATTAAAGGCTTCTCAGGTTTTTGATAACAATTTTGCACGAGCTCTCCCCATAGCAGTTGGATCAATGATACTTTGATGGGGGAGCTCATGAAGCATGGGAGCATCGAAGCTCCCGTATCACCAGATATGTGTTCCATGCCTAGGATGTGAATTGATATGGAGACTGGTTGCTTGAGATCTCTCGATGTCTCATCATCCTATATTTTTCCGCCCATGGTCAAAAGGAAAACCTAGATACCACATTCACCTAAGCCCCTACCACGACTTTTGCGTATCATTCACATCCCAACCTCCTTGGCGGTGCAGCAAGTGTTGTGGCACCGACACAAAGTTCTCAGTTTATGTCACAATAATTTGTTGTACATTGTGGCTCTTTGATTTTTAACTAATATTGTCAAATTTTCATGGAGTTGGATATGACTAATTCATTTGAAAACATATTAGAATTTAACTGTTATACTTTGGCAATGCCAAATATAAGTAAAATGGTCTTTGAAATTCTTGGAACAATACAAACCCATGACTTTGCAATGTGTCCTATATTGGCAGCGGGAGAAACTGAAGTAGATTCTGCTCTTCTTATTGTTCGTTAGCCCGGAAAACCTAAAGGAATATTAAAATGCATGTGTTCATGTGAATCAGTTCTAATCAGTGGAATAGCTTTTACAAAAAGAAATTTTGGTTGGTTTTACAAATGATCGGATTAAGGCCTTGATCCATCTCATCATCGTGTTATATATTGACGATTGTCATAGGCAGTGTGTTCTCTCCTTCCCTCTCCAATCTACCACCCATCAATGCATAATATTGTCGGCGTTCTAGGAAGGGGGTCCCCAGACTTGCCTGCCTGCGGCCTGCAGCGTGGCTCAGCCAGTGGCCTAGTACGGCCCGTCTTCATCAACAAACGCTCAAGGCCCTCGCGAGGGGCCAAGCCTCGCGGGGCGGACGACGCAAGGCCTCCTCAGGGGCGGCCTCACCAGGAAGACTCGCGAGGAGGCGGAGAGATCAAGGCAAGGAGTACCTCGCAAGGTGCTCATGATGCAAGCCATGACGATCAAGACCAGGCGGGCGCCAGCCTGTACAGTGTCCTTGTTTCCTCTTTAGTGCAAATGGGGCAAGCGCAGGCGCGGAGTACCGAGCGTTGGAGATATACATAACAGGTAGGCCCACGAAGGGTCGAAATATCATGAAGCATGGGGTCCACACAACATGTGGGTCCAGATAAATTTCATACAGACATACTATCCACTCGGACAAGAAGCATACTATCCACTCGACCAAGCAGCATACTATCCACCCGGATGACAGTTCACCACTCGACCGTACGACTCACTCGGATATACGAAGACCAGCAGGCAGCAAAGCAGTCGGCATCATTCTAATAGTGGGGGCTTGATAGTGGGCTGGCATTATGGCATTCATGCCCCACTTTGTAACATAGGAGGTGAGGGGGTGGCGCACTCTATATAATCCACCCCCCACCACTAGACTAGGGGGCTCTGGGCTTCCACCTCTCTCTCTTTTCACCATTAGTCTCAAGACTTAGCCAGGACTTAGCTCAGGCATGGGGATCCGTTCCTCTCTCTCACACACACATTGTAATCTCCGGATATATACTCAGATAAAACAAAGCCTCTCCGGAGCACGAGACGTAGGGTTGTTATCTCCACCGTGAGAGGCCCGAACTCGCTAAAACCACCGTGTCACCCATATGCATCTCGATAGATCCTGCTCCTTTATCCTACCCCTATTT